AGCCACCAGCTGACGCCCAGAGAACGCAGGTACAGCGCCTTTGACCGAGAGCTCCTTGGACTTTATTTGGCCGTGCGGCACTTCCGTTTCATGCTGGAAGGCCGTGAATTTACGGCGTTTGTCGACCACAAGCCGCTCACCTTCGCCATGTCAAAAGTGGCGGAGCCTTGGTCGGCACGTCAGCAGCGGCAGCTGTCCTACATATAAGAGTTCACTACGGACATTAAGCACGTGGCTGGAAAGTCGAACCTGGTTGCTGATTGTCTCTCCAGAGTCGTCATCGGTGCCGTCCAGTTGGGCCTGGACTATACTCGCATGGCGGCGGACCAGGTCACAGATCCCGGCGTCCAGGCTCTGAAGGTGGAGGGCGCGGGGCTGCGCTTGGAGGACGTGTTGTTCGGCGACGCGGGCATTACCCTCCTGTGTGACGTTTCCACGGGCCTGTCGCGGCCAGTCGTTCCCGCCAGCTGGAGGCGCTCTGTGTTCGAGGCGGTGCACGGCCTGTCACACCCCGGCGTTAAGCCTTCGGTGCGCTTGGTGGCCGCGAACTTCGTCTGGCATGGGCTGAAAAAGGACGTGAGGACTTGGGCTGGTGAGTGCGTGGCTTGTCAGCGCGCTAAGGTGCACCGCCACACGAAGGCCCCTTTGGAGCATGGACTTAGACCAGCCGGTGTTGCTGGCTCGACCTCCGCGACAGGGATGCCCCCCGGCTGTGACCCCTGTCACGGATTTAGGACCTGTTGTTCCGGTCCCTCCTCTTCCGGGGGCCATGCAGGCGGATGTCGCTTCTCCGGCTCCCATGCTCAGGAGTCGTGGGGGTCGGCGCGTCGTTCCTCCCCGCCGCACAGACTTTCTTTACATGTGAATTCTGGGGGGGCTTGTGTGGTGCCACGTGATGGGACATAATTCACCTCTGGTTATTGTGTTGCAACACGGACCCGAGAGAGAGGGCACCGGAAGCTAGGTTCATTCATGCTAGCTTCACAACAAGTAATAAGCTAATGTCTTAACCTGTCTGAATGTTCTTTGATAATAAAGTGTGGAGTTCCATACTGAACACACCGCCTCCGACTCTCATTCATCGGCTCTACAATATATTTATAAACAGTGCAATAAGCTTCTTAGTGCAATACGAAGCTGCAGGGACTTTAATAATGTCGGTAATATTAACTTTATTTAATACAACATTTACGGTACAAGATGTTATCATACAGCCCATGTAGTATGATAATGAATTACAGCAAACATGTGCAATATATCCAGGGGTGCACATAACTTTCTCAGTGAGGTACTCAGATGAGTACCTGGAGTCAGTGTTTGGTACTCCAACTTCTGGCTCCACTCAAAGTTATTTGATGAAGCCCTCTGTATCGCGAACGTCAAGGGCTAGTGGAGTACTTCATGACCACAGAGCTTGAACGTTGTGATCAGCTGTTTTAGCGCAGTTCTCCAGTGAAGGGCGGGAGTCTCCCTCCGCAGCCGGTTGGCGTAGTTTCGGCACAATTCCGTTGTACAGGCCGATGTTAACAGCAGCCCTGTCTGTGCACACGGAGACCGACTCTGTCGTCCGGTGATCTAACCGCCTTCTGGAAAAGCTTCACAAGTACGTCGGTACGCAAATGCGCTTTGTGACACAAGTGACGGTACGCATTTCAGATTTTTGCCGTGCATGCGTACCTGCGTACCAGTTATGTGCACCCCTGAATATATCCATTATTACAGCTCCGTGGGATGGCAGTAAGACGATATGGATCTGTTCTTATTGTGCATCCATGGGTAAAGATAAACGCAACTCACATTGGTTTCTCATACAGCATCTCTGTAAACTACGTGTATTGACTGAATTTCACTCTCTGCCTTTAACGGCTCGTTGTAGCTCCAATAGCTCCAGCCCAAGCCCCCAGGAAATGCGCCGGAGTCTGATGAGAATATTCGTGCTGGTCAAACGGCGGTACTACACTTCCTTTAGGTTGCTGGGCCCGGAAACACTTTTTCCCATTGACTTACATGGGGAAAGAGTGGTCTGTAACTCGTTGGATAATTTTTTATGAACTAAATAAACAATCCAGTATGAACACTTGTATAGCCCTTATTAAAAACATTCGTTCCTCAAGTTGTAAAAATGTGCTAATAACGTTATTCTGAGAGTTATTTCCCTCGACATTATGAACGCGCATCTAACCCACGGGACCACGCCGCCCGGCACGTTCATGTTACGTGTTCAGTACTACATGAGTTTCTCTTTACCCATGGATGCACAATAACAACGGACCATATCGCCTTACTGCCAGCCCACGGAGCTGTAATAATGGATATATTGCACATGTTTGCTGTAATTCATCATTTGTAAAATATTATACTACATGGGCTGTATGATGTAAATCTTGTACCGTAAATGTTGTATTAAATAAAGTTAATATTACCGACATAGATTAACGTTCCTGTAGCTTCTTAATGCACTTGCAATTGTTTTAGTTACTTGTGGGCATGTTAACATGAATACTCACAGTTACTATCCTTTTACTCCATCACATTTCAAAAAGAAATAGGCTATTGTTATTTTAACTCCACCACAGTAATCCATCATCAGCTTTACTTTTTAGATAAAGTTTTAACTCACAATTGATCATAACAGGCTTCAACATATACATTTTTATATATTACCAAGTGGTTTCATGTACAACCCACACAAGTATCATGCTAAATGAAGCTCTGTTGCTTGGATATCACTAGATCCTGATGTCAGCGTAATATAAAAGTACATAACGATTGATGTGTAACTTAGCATAATTTACTAGCTAGCCGCTAGCTGCTAACTGCCGCCTCGTTAATATAAATCCAGTACCATGCTGTCATGAACGTGCGGTGCTGTTACGTGTACGCAAATTCACGTGCTTAATGTGAACGAGCCTTTTGGGCGGCGTGGTTATAGTTGCGCATGCTCTATGAGTGCACATACTGGTACTTCTCAGGCATGCCGGGTAATCTGTGACGTTTCGCTCTCTCAAAAGTTGGGCCATTTTGTCATCATGCGCCATTGAGCAACTCTCATAGGAATGAATGAGGCCCCGCCTCCCACACTGTATCCAGTTCGTATTATACATCCATGCTCCAGCCCCCACCCTCCCTGTGAGCACAGTGTGCTCTGATTGGTCGGGACACGTAACATGAACGTGCCGGGCGGCGCGGTCCCGTGGGTTAGATGCACGTTCATAATGCAAAGGGAAATAACTCAGAATAACGTTATTAGCACATTTGTACAAATTGAGGAACGAATGTTTTTAATAAGGGCTATACAAGTGTTCATACTGGGTAGTTTATTTAGTTTAAAAAAAATTATCCAACGAGTTACAGACCACTCTTTCCCCATGGAAGTCAATGGGAAAAAGTGTTTCCGGGCCTGGCAACCAAACGGAAGTGTAGTACCGCCGTTTGGCCAGCACGAATATTTTAATCTGAGTCCGGCGCACTTCCTGGGGGCTTGGTATACCGCCATCGATATATATAAACACTAGATGACTCACCCGCGCTGCTGGCCAATGGAGACCGACGTTGCCACTTGGCCGCCATCTTGCCACAGGCAGTTCTCTCATTCCCGCATATCCTACAAAGTCCTCCTCCTTACCTACAAGTCCCTCCATGCCCTTGCCCCCCAGTACCTATCGGACATCCTTCACCCACATGCCCCACCCCGGAACCTGCGGTCCTCAGACTCTGGCCTGCTTACCACCCCCCGCACCAAACTGCGAACCTTCGGGGACAGAGCCTTCAGTGTGGCAGCCCCCACCCTCTGGAACGCTCTCCCTGCGGAGATTCGCAACATCCCCACACTTGACGCCTTCAAAAGGGCCCTCAAGTCCCATCTGTTTGCCAAGGCTTTCGGCCCCTAAATCGATCTGTTGTTTTGTCTGTCTGACTTTTGTTTTGTTATGTTTGTTTTTGCCCTATTACTTGTAAAGCGACCTTGGGTCCCTTGAAAGGCGCTATATAAATCCAAGCTATTATTATTATTATTCATAACATTATGGTACTTACTATTTAAATAACCATAGCTTGCTCAATTTTCAACCAATTTTCAAACAGTTTGTTTTTTTATAAACATCAAATATGTAGTTATGATACTGCATACTTATAATCATGGACTTTCATATGAAAATAACATTAATCAGATAAAGCAATAGCTATACACACACACACAAGGTATTTATATTAAATATTTGCCGGTGTATATATTTCCATTTATTTTTGTTATATTTTTAATATTTAAAATAAATTATAAATAAATTATAAAATTAAAATACATTTATATTTTATATATAAAAATCGGTCTCATGTTACCACTCTGTAAGCCAAGAGTTGTTAATTTAGCAATGCCTTAGCTTGAAGAACACAACTAACTAATGACAATAGCATATGTTGGTATATTATTTAGATATTCACACCTTTATCAGAAGAACCAAACCAACATAAAATGTGCTCAGACAGGCCAGTTCTGTCTAATTTATCACAATTATTTTTGACATGAGATCTTCATATCATCCTAGTTTTGTATTTAGTTTCTAGATTTGTAAACAAATCCAGAACCTTTGAAATATGTTATTGAAAAAAGACCAAGAATAATATAAACTGTACCATGTGTCCTTCTGTAGTCCATTTGTGGTTTGTCTTGTCTCACCCCGGCTGATATATCACAAAATCCACTGTTTAAATTGTTCCCTATATTGCCCCTATGCCCCTGTAAGGTGTCCTTGGGTGTTATGAAAGGCGGCCCCCCCAAAATAAATGTATTATTATTATTAAGAAGAACAACTTGGTGTGGTGTGAAGGGGATGTAGGAAGCAGGAGCAGGTGGGGAGAGATGGGGCTTCAAGGTTCAAGGTTATTTGTTTTAAATGTGTCTTGGAGATAAGGACCAGCTGCACACAATAAAATACAGTAACACAAAACCAATAAGACACACGGTGACACATGGCACACCAACAATCAATCATCGTCCAGCCTCAGCTTTGGTATTCTTTCACAACCATGTTATGGGTTTATTAGACTGAGCAAACATAAACATATGTGGGGAACATAGTGCTGCGTCTCATGGAACATGAAGATTGAATAAATACATAATAAAAAACCGTCCCTTCTTAGGGCGAGTTCCCACTGCCTCCTCCTCTCTTCGGTTTTGGGAAACCTTAAAAACATGAGAAAGGTACAACATTTTCCTCCCTTCTTTCCTTTAACATTAAGGCTAAGGACAAAAATACACACCGAAATTATCATATTTTTGGTATGTATGCATGTATGTATACTTTAAGAATAAGACAACCACACTAAGAGTAATAAAAAAGGTGTCCAAAAGAAACATTAAATAATTGTGTAAAGAAATGGTAGCAACATATTCTAAAGAGGCTGGGTCAACAACAATCTTGCAATACTATTATCTCACATAGCCCCACTGATCCTGTGTAGCAGGACTTGTAATGTAAATACATCCACTAAGTAATTAACGATTATCCTAATTCTAGTCATAATATTGTCATATCTTACATGTGAAAGGTGATCCCACGGGTTCTTGTTTGCAGACAGCGGCGATTGGAGCATCCGTAGGCTGCACAAAAGTCCTGCATAGTCAGGTACTTCTGTAAACACAAAGCCAGCAAATTCCTGTATCATAATGCAAGATGTTTTTAACAAGCCAAACGACTTGGAAGAAATCATGTGTAACTTCAGTTATGTTGAAAAGAAAGAGCAGTTCTGCCTCTCCCACTGGTGTAAAGTTGCTGGGTCAACTTTGTAATACTAGGTCTCACTCACAGTTGTTATTAGCCAGCTAATAAATAGAACCACAAAGAAAAGCTGCAATTTCAACATGTCCAAGCATCCTGTATCATAGCCAGGCTAATAATGTTTATAATAAACCAAACCGTTTGTAAATCAGTCACGATTTCAGCGAGTTAAGAGTATTTTTGTGCAGATCACTCACCTTACAACAGCTACCATAACGCGAATCAGAGTAACTGTTGACTGTGGCAAGATGGCGGCCGGTCAGCTACGCTGGAAAATCTCCCATGAGCCATCTAGTGTTTATATATATCTATGCATACCGCCACCCAGAGCCATATAATAGAAGAGTTACGACATCTCCGTTCACTCCAATGGACCACTTTTTTACAGCAATGGCGGATCGTGGAGCCTCTCAATCGTTCCCCGGAAGTTAGCGCCAAGGCTAGCAGAGCTGTAGAGTTGCAGCATAATAGACCGTTCGTGACGGACTTTTAAAGGTAAGAAGAAGTTTAAAGATTTATATTGCGGATATTATCAGTACATCTGATTCAAATTAACATGTGTATTAAAGGATGTCAGTGGATTATCCCTAAATTAGTAGATTTAGGGAACGTTTACAGATAACAGATTAAGCTAGGATACCGAAGCAAGTTAGCAACACACGTTGAACAGCCTTTTAATTGTAAATTCCGTTCTCTTAATGTCATTTCGTCCAACGTTGTTGAATTAGAGAAGAGGGGCTTCTAAACGGGATTGTATGCGGGGGTGGAGGGAGTTAAATATTAGATAAATATAACTTTGGTGCGTGTAAGAGTGAGTGTTTTTAGCAGAGCCATATTGTGTCCTTGTGATTATGTTGATTATTACCTGTCTGTATGATGTTGCAGCTCACCTGATTTTGGATTGATGGCAAAGGGAGAGGGACTTAAGTGAGAGTGAAAACACAAGGTAAGTTTAATACTACTGTTTTATATAAGTAAGCATACTAAACATGTATTCTATCACTGTATTATATAAGTAATCTTGTTAGTAACCTACTGTATGGCAGGTGGAGGGGCAGTGATGTTACAGGTGGAGGAGCAAAACTGCAAGACTGCAAACTCACAAGACAGAGAAATCAAAGTTTGTTCTCCAGAGATGAGGTTGATTTCACTTCAATTTTGTATTTCATATTTTCTAAAGATGTGGAAATGGCAAAAAAAAAAACTTGAGAGCTGTAACCAAGACAACTGTAACAACATGAGTAGTGAGCCACCAAGGTTTTTCAAGTCCCTCTCTTACTCCATTTTGCCAACCCAAACTTCCAGGTACATGACGGGACACCTTGCTTGTTTTTGTTGTTTGCGCTCCTCTGGCTGGGTGCTGGCAGGTGGAGGGCAGTGATGTTGGCAGATGGAGGGGCAGTGATGTTACGGGTGGAGGGGCAGTGATGTTAGCTGGCAGGTGGAAGAGCAATGTTTAGTCCAAATATTTCCATTGCAACGGCTAATGGAAATTATTGCAGCTGTGGATCTGTTTGGGGGTTGCTGGATGTGGTAGCTTGGCTGCTGTTGTTCCTTTTCACCTTTTTGGATTGGCTCTTGCTTCCAAAATGGCCATCTTTTAATTTTATTTTTTTTCTGTCATTTCTGATTTGTTTGGCCTCAATTCTCAGCCTCAGCCGTATGAATCTTTTTACGAGTTTTTGTTGTACTCCACAGCATGACGGAAGCCTGCTGGAGAGGGCCTGAGCTTCTTTCTCCAAGACACCCACTGCGTTGGGGAGCTGCATGAGGGAGGAACCAGTCTTGGTCCTAAATAGTTCCTCTTGGTGAATGAAGTCAAAGGCTTCTTGGGAGGGACGACAAAGAGCACCTGCCTTGAAGTCTTTCAAGTCCACTAACAAGCTGTTGTCACCAGAAGGACTCTCATCATGGTGCTCTGTTGCAATTTTGCATTTTTCACAGATGCTGGCAAACTTGATGATTTTGTGGACGATGTAGCCTGCAAGATGGAAGAGAATACATTTCTCAGTTTTTGTGAGGTCAGGTGCAGCTGCTCTGTTCACCGCCATCAGCTGTTCCACTCTGACTGATGGAGTGATTTTTGGCTCCCCTGTGTCCAGGAAGTCTGCCAAAAAGCTACTGTGGTCTTCCTGGTAGCTCCCAGAGCTGATGGTGGTGAGGAACTGCCCCACAGATATGATTCTCAGTGCATGATGGAATTCCACTGGAGTTGGGACAGGATTTTTAGACCTCACACAGCTGAATGTATTTTCAAGGCAGTCTTGTGTGAACCTTGACGTTAACACAAACCTGTGTCCTTGTGTAAGCATCTCCTCTTGTATGGCCAAAATTGATGTTGTTGCCATTATCACCCCTGTTTGACCAGGCTTCCAACCTCCCTTTTATCCCACGAAACAGATGGACGATGTTCTGGAGGAAGGTGATGGCCTTTTGGTACTCCTCCATCTTGAGCCTGCTCAGGGCTGTAATTGGATGGCGAGATGACATCAGATCAAACCAACGATCAACCTGCTCCAGGAACCACGCTGTCGTCAGGTATGACAGAGGGCGGTTTTCTTGCTGCACCATGTATTTCAGCCCAGCACTTGTAGCCTTACTGAACACATTTAGAGCAAGACCAACCTTCATCTTATCAAAGTGACTTGGCTCGATGGCTGCAGCTGAAAGATGGGGAGCTATTTTTAAGGCCAGCCCTTCCTGAAAGGTCAATAAGTCCTTAATGGGGACCACAAAAACCTCGTTAGAGGGGAGGTTCTCTCTGTTAACAACATCCTCAGGAATTATGAAGACCTGCCCACGGACAAGGGCACTTTTTTAAAATGTTACCAGATGTGGGACATCGGGCATGAAATAGAGCTGCCTGTCTGGTTTTGCTGGATGTGGCACCGATGTTTTATTTTGGTCCACCCCAAAGGATTTCCACATGGCTCGGTTAGGGCTACCCATGTCGGTGGTGACATCAAGCACATGTAGCCCTATGGATGCTGCCCTCTGTATTATATCAATAATGATTGGCCTGTACTCTGCTCCATTGGTAGAATTGCCAGTGTAATGATATGCCACTACTTGCTTCCACCGTGTTGTGTTTCCAGCCAACATAAACACACAAGCATGTGTTGCCACCCCTGTGTGACCTGGTAAAGTCACATCACCGTACAGTTTGCCTGTAATCATGTCTAACTCCACACTTGGTGTGATTGCCATTTCATCCAAGGTCAACACACACTCCCTTTCAAGGTCTGTCAATTTATCTGCCTTCAATTTTAGGAAATCAAAGACCTCTGTCAACACACCAGGCTCAAACTTAACACATTGCATCCTTCTTTGCAGTGTCCTTATTCCTGGAAGGGGAATCTTCAATTCCTGCAGAGTTTTGTAACCCGTTGGTCCGCTCGCAAAGAGAATTTTTAAAGCCTTCTTAATTGTCTCATTGCTCCATTTCATCCCCTTTGTGGTGAGTCTGCCTAATGCCTTCAGTTGGTCTTTTGAAAACGTTTTCTTATATTTCTTGTCCCTAATTTTCATTGTTTTCTTGAGAGCTGCATTTTCCTTCCTGATTTTTCTTAGTGCAGCCTTTGCTTTTTTGGTGATTCCTTCTTGGCTCTTTAATTGTCTCTTTAATTGTTGTAATAGATCTGTTTGACTGGCTGCTGGTTCCCTCGTATGCTGACTGGCTGCTGGTTCCCTCGTATGCTGACTGGCTGCTGGTTCCCTCGTATGCTGACTGGCTGCTGGCTGAGTGGGTGGTGTCCGCCCTCCCTGTCTCTCCTCACTAGCCATGTCCTCTCTTTCTTCATCCTCACTTTCCTTTCTCTGTCTCCTCATCCCTTCTTCCCTCAATCTTTGAGACTAATGTAAGTAGAAGACATGGCACTGTAAATTTTCGAACATTTTAAATATTATACCATTTAAAAATAACAAATATTACTTTTGTTACTAAGAGTTCATACTTATTATACCTGTGTCACCTTTCACACTATATACATTTGTCATACTTTGTTAAACTCACAAATAATAAAGTTCCATAACTTCAGTTGGGAACAAAGACCACACCTTATCTACCCAAGGCAATTTCCCATCCAATAGGTGTGCTATATAGATGTGTATAACCCTTTCTCCTGTCTGTTTATCCCTCTTTCAGCACAAGAACCAGAGGGGGATTCAATGGAGCCTGAATACCTGCACTGAGACCCTCACTCTGCACCCTGAGTCTCAACTCTGTGTTTTTCAAGCCTTTCCCTGTTTTTTTGTATTAAACAAAACATTAAGCTTTCCCAATGGTGTGGTTTTCGTTTTGTGAAAAAGTGCAAATGCAGTGTTTGTATATAATTACCTCACATATTTTTTTGCTGTTGGTTGTGAAATTGCTCCTGCTTCCTCCGCTCTGTGTCAGTGGGGAAGCCGTACATTCGTACTCCTTTCTCTGAGCGATTTGAGCATCCCCAGGCAGCACAGCAAACCATGGTGGCGACTAGGAGGCAGCACAGCAAACCAGGACAACACGGAGGAAAAGGCACAGACAAACTGCATGATATGCTATTAAATGTTTATTGAATTCCATGTATTTGCAATGGATGTTCCTAAAACAACACATTTAACATCATCATCATGCTGCTGCTGCTAGTCCTTTGATAGTCACCTGTCGGTCTCCTGTCCTTTCTGAAAGCCATAAAGATGACATTAGTCATTTAGATAACTTGCAGGGCTCGACATTATAAATGGCCCGCTGGCATTATTTAGACACCCCGGGCCAGCATAACGTACTTTACACTTGCCCGCTCGGGCCACTAAAAATATTGTTTAAAAAAAAATGTTTCCTGTGGTATTGGTATTTTGACTAGCAATTTAGTTAAATTGTTTCGTTTATTAACGCTACAACATAGCGTTTCGTGAGTCGCTTGTCGTTGTTGGGTGAAAAGCAAACAGCTGTTTGCTGCGGAGCGCAGCGCGAGCAGGCTCCCGTGAGCGGGGACGCGCTCCTTCACTACAGACTATCGCGCCACCTAACCATTCGCCAAACTGTTTTTAATACCAGCGGTAACCGGCCAAGCGCTGTGCAAAAACCAATCTTCAAATAAAAGAAAGTCACCGGAGGAGTTAAAGGAGAGTGACAGGGAGCATGAGAAGAAGAGGGAGAGAAAGTTTCAGCCAGCTTGATCGATGGACTTGGCTTCTAGTGGTGCAGTGACACATCCTAAAACCCTTTTATAATCTATCGATTAGATTTATGATTCGAAAATTATAAAAGTAGGGTAGACATGTGGAGAATATCCGGCTGAACAAAACTTGCATATCAAACAGGTTTGTTTTCCACAGACCTTATTTCCAGCTATTTTCCAAAACCCTGTGGAGAAATCCCATTGCTTTTTGTCGAGGGAACCAGCAGCTTACTTCCTGGTTTTATGACGCATCACTGGCTGCACCTCTCAATATGATGCCAATATAAACAAGGTATTCTGTCGGCTCTGTACATCAATGCCGACCTATGCTGACAAGTAAGTGAAGAGTAGAAAATATAAAGGTATTGGCTATAGGGGAATGTCCCAGCAGTTTAGGATAATGAAGGATCTAATCTAATCTATAGCCATTATATTTCTAACTCCTGATGACAGGAAGGCAGAAAGTGCATTATACAAATAATAATAATACTCATAATAATAGCAGACATTTTTTAACAATGACCACAATATCATTATTTTAATAAACCAAATATAAACAATTGAGGAAAATGAGGACGAACTGATTGTTCAAATGTTGTAGTACAAGTAGTAATGTAGTTAGTGCATAAATTACTATTGCAACAAATGTGTTAATTTTCTTCATTATTAGTCGATTTTTTTTGGACGAATGCTCCGGGCCAGTGGGTACAATGGTGGGGCCAGTGATAATACAATTCCACCAGCCCGGAGGGCCAGTGGCTTTTTACCCTTAATGTCTACCCCTGACTTGTGTCCTCAATTCCATGGGATTACTGAAACTACCATGAATTTAAGAAAATGGTAGACATTAATCTAATCTGAATTTTAAAGCATTACTTTAGATGACATGTTGCTTGTTAGGCGCTTTTATCCAAAGCGACTTACATACTCAATACTGTGGGCAATCCCCACAGGAGCAATTTGGGGTGAAGTGTCTTGCCCTAGATCCCCTCCCTCTAAATATATCAATAAACATTAGAAAGTGATGCTCCTGACTACCATACAAGTTTAAGAAGATAATATTGGTTTTAAAGAATTCAAAGGTATAAATAAACAGCAACAGGCTCTTTAACCAAGGCACTGTTAGCCTAACATGTAAACTAGTTGTTCACACTAATTCTAATATTATCACTTAATATTAGCAAATTCTATTTTATTTTTTAAAACATATTGATGTAAATACATACACATATCGATTTGTTGTATAAATATTGCAAATCAAAACCTTTATTCACTAATAATTACCAAAAATCGTAGTTCTATCTCCTGTTATCAGTGCATTCACATTGCCCACCATGAACTTCCGGGGAACGATCCTCTTCTACATGAACCACGTGACGATAACCGTTTTTGGACTTCCGTTGTCGTAACTCTTCTATTATATGGCTCTGCCGCCACCTACTGTACTCGCCGTGAAGTTGTTTGTGGCCTGCCAGTAAACCCAAAGCAGAAGAAGAAGAAGAAGTGACGTCAGCGGCTTAGAACTAATTTCGGTGTGCCTGCTTTAGTTCATCAGAACTAAAAGAGTTCTCATGAACTATTGTGGGAAAAGAACTTGGTATGAACCTATTGTTTAGTTCGAGAAGGTCTAATTGCTTGTTGGTTGATTCCAAAATCCTATCAGATATTTTCTCCCAAATATGTGGGGATTCTTCCTCTGCATGCCCATGATTAACAGCCATGTCACACTGTTTGACATTAATGAAGTATTAATAGAATTATTCAGGAACCACACCTCAACCCAGAAATGAGTTGGCATATTAGAACTTCCCGTTCACTTGTCTAAAAAAACTTGTCTGTTTTTGGTTCGATGCCTGAAATAATGTGTGGTTAACACAAGCTTACAAGATTTTTTAAATGTTGTTCTACAACATGAAATGTGTCAGTCAATACTCCACTGGTGAGCATCTGAGGCTTTTACTTGTCTTTATAATGGCAGTTGCTAACTAGTGTCTGAATGAGAGTAGATAAACATCAAGGCAAACATTAGCAGCCTTTAGCTTAGCATTGTTCACATGTGATCATGCAAACGTGTATAGTTTGTTTATAACATTACGTTAGATATTTAATAAATAAACGTATTATTATTATTTATTCCTGGATAACAAAAGTGGTGTTAATACGAAGGATTATCCCGCTGAACCTAACGTGTAGTAGGTTAGGTATCATAAACATGTTTGTCACAGATCCATCTTTTACAGGATTCCAAAATCCAATGGAAAATTCAGAGAAATACAAAAGTTCCAGAGCTCTGATACCCGACGTCTCCATGTGTGTTTCACCTGCGCCCTTGATGCTGAAGTTAAGGTGTTGAAAAGCAAAAAAATTACAGCGAACACAAATCCGTTGAGATTGTTCTTAGAAAATCTTTCTGTATTTACACGTTTGAACAGACAAGCAAGAACAGACAAAGAGTGCTTATATACAGAGCTGCACAAGATGTTAAAATGAGTGCTAAAACGATACAGTATTTACAGATGAATTACAGCGGAAAGTACAGACTAAGAACGAGCTTCATCACAAAACTTCTGGTACTCTACACAGTATCACAAATTCCATGAACTGTACAGTTAAAAACCAAAAAATGGTAAATGTACAAGAAATCCAACGTTTCTCCAATTGAGAGGCATTGAACTATATATATATATATATATATATTTACATTATATATACATATTATAGTGTATAAGCATGTATGTTTTCATACATATATAGCTACCTATGGTGCAAAAGCAGCAAAAATAAATCAGAATGTATGGAATTCAATACTACAAAAAAAGGTTTTGTACTAAATAGGCTGACTGACAAAATAATGTTACACCATACATGACCAATATACTGGCAAAAGAAAGATTGAGCGTAAATAAAGCTCAAAGTCCTAACGGTCTGAAGTGAACAGAGGGTTACTGGTCAGTCATTCAAAAAAAGGAAGAGATTGTCAATAATACTTCAAGTCATGCAAAGATATAAACCATTAAAAATGAAAAAATAAACTTTTCCCTGTTGACCAACCAGCTGTGCAGCTTTCCCTTCATTGTGACTCGGCAGGTGCAAAACAAAAAGGAGGGAGGGCGGGACTTCCTGTGCAGGTTATGGAATAGAGTTGGGGTGCAGTGTGGGCACTTGGTGGGGGGGGGCAGTCTCAGTGTCGGTCTCATCCTGGCTGGACGGGCTGCTCACTGTGGCAGTGTTGGGTGGGGGGGGTGTGAAGGTTGTGGTGGAGGTGATGGGGGTTATGGTACTGCTGCTGCTGGTGAAGCTGGCTGCAGGGGGGGTCTGCTCCTCTTTGGGCTGCTTGCTGGCGAACTCTGTGATGCTGAAGAGGAACTGGAGGCAGCCCAGCTTGATGTAGCTGCCGTGGTGCAGCAGCGCCGTGCCCTCCCACCCCGCCCCGCTGCCTCCTATCAGGCTGGAGCTGCTTGCCTTGCAGCTGCACGACAGCTCGCCCCCGCCCTGAGGCTGGCTGCTCATCACTCCTCCGGCCGGGAACAACCCCACCACGGAGCTGGGACCCTCGTCATTCTCGCGTTTCTTACTGCGACCTGCAGCAGAACACAAGGAGACGTTTGGAAACGTGTTCACACTATACTGCAGTTATCCATGGAACAACAACAACAACAACATTTTCCTCTGAGCCCCCGCTGGCTGGGCTCACTTAAATTCCCCATCTTTCTGTATTTTTTTTTCACGGCAGATAGTACAACCTAAATAGATCGGTGCAGGAAATGGTCCTAAAACCCACAGATGAGCATTTTGGCTGGTTAGCTTGTCTAAAAGTCAGTAGCTTTTTGGAATGACTTTTTTGTTGGATTCCCAAAATAAGGTCTGTGATTAAAACAAGATGTACCCGTTTTGTTTTCACAAAATAAAATATGTCAGCAAATACCCCTCCTGTTAATAACTGAAGCTGCTGTGTGTTGACAAAAAGTAGTTGCTAACAAGTGACTCATTTAGATTACTAACCGCCTCACCCCGGAACATTAGCGCCTTTAGCTTTGTGGTGTTGAGGTGAAATCATGTGGCTGTATTTCATTTATAGCCAGGGGCGGCGCCAGGGAGTAGCATGGAGTTGCTATAGCAACTCCAACAATTGGCCTAGCAACAGCTTAGCAACCCCATTGTTTTGTTATGAAAATGTATCTATATTTATACACATTCTCGCAAGATCTATCAGGGGTCGTTGTTCGCTCTAAACGCTCGAGTTTCACCGCGGCTGCCAGCTGTGTTTACTCGCATCATTCAAACAAGACGCGCTGGCTCGGGAGCTACAACTACAACAAAATGAACATATTTTACCGTGATTCAATTGTAATACACGTTTCTAAATGATGCCGAAGTAACAACATACTGATACCGGTTAGTAAAAACCATGAATTAATGCTTTGACAAGTCTGCAGACAGACGGCAGGCGAAAAACCTTTTAGAATGCTTGTTTTCTGAATGGAGATTGGGTCGACCAGGCTAAGCTAACGTTGTATATAGGCCTACTCCGTCCACACTCACAACAACGGCCTACAGACATAAATAAACCAGCGACTGTATTCGCCATGACACAGACAATCTGTGGTTTGTACTTGTTTAACTTTTGTCCAGTTTCTGAACAGATATGAAGAGCTGTGAGCTCTGTGTGCTAACTGCTATGTTTTCTGGTTGAACGTCAGTGGCAGGCTGAGATCCTCACCACTGCTGTGTGTGTGTGTGTGTGTGTGTGTGTGTGTGTGTGTGTGTGTGTGTGTGTGTGTGTGTGTGTGTGTGTGTGTGTGTGTGTGTGTGTGTGTGTGTGTGTGTGTGTGTGATGAGGTGGTTAAATGCCACAGCATGCCAGTTGAAACGGTGAACGATCACTATTGTGTACTTGTACGCTCAGGGTGTAATGGTATTATACAAAAATATTGTAGGAGCACAGAAACAGTGTTCAAATTCTGCTTTTACAAACGGATTTTGGTTGTGCTTACCTTGCAAAGTAATGTTATAAGTGTCAAAGGAATGTTTTTAATGTAAATATTAAGGATAATATTGTAGCGTGTCCAAGTTATAGTTATGTCAGTTATCAGATGTGCACAGTTTTAGTACATTTGTAAAGTTATTTAGGCAATGTTGTTTGTGGGAGTTAGGGAGAGACCGCCCCTTCCAGGTGTGTGTGTGAGTGTGTGTGTGTGTGTGTGTGTGTGTGTGTGTGTGTGTGTGTGTGTGTGTGTGTGTGTGTGTGTGTGTGTGTGTGTGTGCGTTTTCCAGTGTGTGTGGAGGGAGTACAAGACGGTAGGAGTTGTGTTCGAGTGTGGGGAAAAGTCATAATGAGTGTTATACTATTGATTGGTTCTGTAAGGCGTGGCTGTGGCCGTCAATACCAGAAGATAAAGAGAACGTTTTCGACATTGAAGGCTCGTGATCTGTGATATTGAATAGCGGTGAACGCTACAATATGAACAGGCTCGTGCTTGGCCCACTGGTATTGTTTGTTTATTTTGAAAATTAACTAGCAACGCCGTGCTGTCATATAGCAACTGCTAAGCTACTGCAGCTAACAAATCCTGGCGCCGTCCATGGTTATAGCATTACATCAGCCATTTACTGATGGCAATTGGAGAACTTATTTTCTGCAATCTCACAAATTCAATGCTAAAACCCATTACTTTTACTCAAGGGAGCCCTTTCAGTGCTGACTTATGGGGCCTACAAAATGACATCCTCACTACACCACTATACTCTCCCTTTTGGTTTGGATTTAAATGTAGCATCCAGATCCAGATGATAATGCTAAGAACAGCTACCGACCAAATAATAACGTTAGCATGATCAACACTGTTAGTTTGACTTATTGTTTCGATTCTATCCCGGGTGCCTCGCCAAAATATACATTCTATATTATAAACAACTGGGAGAGCTTTCACAATTTTGAGAGTGTTAGAAAGTGTTCTACGTACGTATGATGCCTTGCACTTTAGCCACCAGGCCGCTGGGTGGAGACGGCGAGGCCTTCTCAGAGAAGTCACAGGAGTAGAGGACGTTGTCCACCGTGGTGCCGTGCTCGCTGTAGTTGAGCAGCTCGTAGTGCTTGGTATTCTAAAAAAGAAACAAACCATTTGCACCGTGTTAAGTAGGAATGGTGAATTATGGTCCAGTACACCAATGCACATCTACAATGTAATTGTTCAACAGTTTACTTACCTCGTCATAGAAAATACAAGCGTGCTTCCCCGATATGTAGTTGCAATGCCCGTAGTTGGCAAGGCACACATCCATGTCAGCACCTTAAAAAAACATCAGGGAGGTTACCAAATACATTCTGCAAGTTTGTCTATTTCATATTAATTAAATTGTTGTCTAATTTTCCCGTAGTTTGTTGAACCTCTTCCATTCTCTTCAAACGCTCCCATGTCACCCTTGGGCTGAACGGCTGGTGACTCAGACATATAAATGTGCACGCTGTAACAAGTACTCCTTTACTCAGAAAGGTTTCACAAGCACGCAAAGCAAAAAGCTGGGAACCCGTGATCAAAATACAAACAGCTTTCAACTTTACTTGATAAAATATGTGGAAATTGGGAATATTCAGCAACGAAAGTAAAAAAGAAGCAAGGATCGGAGGCCTGTTTCCAGTGTTTTGTGCTATAGACACAGTACAGTTGGTATCAAAGTTCCTGCTCTAAATAAAAAGGATCCCGAGAACTTGTGTTGTGATCTGATGCAGTACAAACTAAAACTGATTATCGTCTTACCTGATCCTATGTATAACGTCCTATAGCACATGTTGACAGCTCCTCCTTTTCCTGTGAGGGGGTAGAACACCGCTCTGGCCTGCACCTTCTTCTGGCCTGATAGGAAGAAGTTCACAAATACTTTCAAAAAAAGTCCTTTAGACCCTTACTCTTATTATCAAGCAGTGAGATTTGAAAAACACATTATATTTCATTGTCAGAGGTTAGCGGTTTACCTTCGGGGCAGGGGGGTGGGGGTGGGGTTTTGGGGGCAGCCGTGATGGCTGGGGGGGGGCGGAGAGCTGGGAACTTTGGGGGGGAAGAGCTGCTGGATCCTCTGCCAGGCCAGGAGCTTGATCATCTCTGCGTCCAGTTTGTCCAGCTCAATCCCTACGTACACACGATCATTAGAGGGTACTTCTACTGCCTCATCATGACATGACATTTACACAGTACCACAATGTACTAGGGATGCCAGAAACTGACCATGATCAAAATCGAAAATCGGACAGCCCTGGCAAATGATAATCGATTAATCGCTGGCATTCCTACAATGTACTGTCATTTATTTTCATGAGTGAAATCTGTGAGTGAGCACTAACCTCTTTCGTCATCCTTTCCATCTTTCATGCAGCTGGACAGTAGTGAGCCCATCAGCCCAGCAGCAGCCTTTATGTCTGCAGAAGAGAAACAGTGTGCTGTCAAACACACCCTGACCCTGATCTGGAGCATTGCTCATGGACATCTGGCTGCATGGGAACTTTAGGGTCAGAACTCTTTATTTATCCCAGTGGAATGTCGGGAAAGTTACTCCATTATGGAAAATATATAAGATCAATGCTAAAATTCTAAATATGTAAATAAAATTAGTTGAGGTAATAATGGGCAATACAAAGTATGATAAATTAAGAAATATTTGCATAAACATAATAATCTTTAGTGTTAACAATGTACTTCAACATGTATATATTGCAAGGTAGATGGTGGTGTTTTAGTATTATTATGATATTAATGCTGATTGCACAGTTTAAAAGGGTTTGGCTGCCTCACTGCTCTGCCTCACACTGTGTAATTGCTGCCAGTGACCAGAAGAGGGAGCTGTTAGGCTATGGAACATGCTGCTATAATGTTGCAAGGAAAAAGTGGTGAGTGTACATTGAATACAGATCAGGGTTTCCGTTAGCCTGTAATTACCGGTTTTTAGCTGGTAACATTTATTAAAAACCGGTAAATTCAAAACCTGCCGGTCAAAATGTCTGGTAATAATTAGGGATGCTCCGATAGATCGGCCGCCGGTCATTATCGGCCGATATTCACTGTCAATAGTTTAATCGGTGCTCTCTATAAAGGCCGATCAGAAGAGCAGGATCTGATCGATATGGACATAAACGCGAGTAAAGTATAACCGGACCCGAGAGAGAGATCAGATCAGCTGAGACACGCAGCTCTGATCACCTGAAGCCCCGCCCTCTGTTTAGCTGCATGAGAAACTGACGGGCTGTCAGGAGAGAGAGGGAGGGAGAGGGGAAAAGAGAGCATCCGTTTCTCCCGTGTGATTATTCAAAGTTAATGTAAACTTTTGAATAATGTACTTCATCTACTACAAGTAGTTTGTTTGAATGTAATAATTATGTTGAAAATGAATCTGAACTTTTCGATCTGTTACGATTATAAACTGAAGCAATATAAAAAAGAGCCCCATTAACTGAGTTTTAAACATCAGCATATCAGGTCATAGTCCGGTAATGACCTGCCAACGGAAACTCTGCTACACAATTATTATTATTATTATTATTATTATTATTATTATTATTATGATTGAAACATGTAAGTAAGTTTCAAATTTGTCCGGTAAAATAAATTATTTCTGGAAATTTGACCGGCAAGAAAAAATCCTAGCGGAAACCCTGATACAGACGTGTCTGAACACCAAGAAGCTGGGATATATCTTTTTAAATCCTCTGGAGCAGAGAGAGGAGCTGTGGATTATTGTTATTGATTAATGCATTGGTGTTTCTTAGGGTCACAAACACTAAACTCACAACTTCAAATGAAAGCGTTTCGTTTATTTAATAAAAGAGCACATGTTCAATGTGAAAAGTGACCGTAGATAGATTACTTCAGTTGCAATTTGGTGCTATATATATATATATATATATATATATATATATATATATATATATATATATATATATATATATATATATATATATATATATATATAATTTTATTTTTAATTTAAAATAATTTAAAAAAGTGCGCCAAGACAATGGTAGGGGAAACACTGAGTAGTAATTATCAAATCTTAAGAGGTAACTGTTGTTTCAGTTTTATATTTTGCAGACTATAGTGAAATCAATGAATGAACACCTCTTAGTTGTGGTAAATAGTTAGGGCTACTAAACTGTTTAATGTCGTTTATTGTTATGACTGCTATTGAAGCTCAAATGCAGTGTGGGGCCCAATCAGCAGAAGCCTACTGTACCTGGAGAGGGCGATGTAAACCCCAGCTTGGTTGGCTCATGCTCCTGGCTGCCTTTAGGTGGAGCGTCTTTGCTGGTGATGGAGTAGGTGGGTTTCTGGTCGCTCTTCGTACCCTCCCCACGTTGCTGCTCCGCCTGGCTCCTGTGGTTCTGCTGGACCCCGTGGGGCCATATCGTCAGGGCGGTGGGGGCTGTTTTCTGAGCGCAGGCCTCCGTAGTGCCCTCAGGCTCCTGTTTAACCGTTTCAGCTACTATGTGGTTCACCAGCCCAAGGGAAGGGGCCGGGTCTGGGGGGGTTGCGCCGGGCTTCAGTCTATGCTGCAGCTCAGCCTGCCTGCAGGAGTCTGAGCTGCTGATACAGTCTAAAGGTCCGTTAGCTTTAGGAGGCTCTTCTAGAGGCCCGTTGGCTTTCCTACAGTTCTGACATGGTTTCATGCCACATTTACAGACCTCTGACAGAGAGGCCCCCTGGGGGTCATTCGATGTACCACAGGGTTTAGAGCAGGGGGCTAGTGGTGGAGTCCTTCCATGGGTTTTGGTTTCCTCTGGTATAACACGTGATGGGGCCTTTTGCTCAGACACCCACTCTGCTGACGGTGTTGCTGATGACAGGGTGGGGGCCGCGGACAGAGCCTTCTGCTTTATAGAGAGGTGCCGCATGATGCTGCACTGGAGGGCGATGACATCCTGAAGCCACTGTTCAACAGCAGAAAACCATGTGTTACAACACAAGAATCAAACATCAATCCTGTCCTAACACCAATATCATGTTTAAGCTAGTATGATGCATCTGGTTTACCATCCTTCTTCTGATGAGTGTCAAAGTGTGTGTTGGTAAGAAAAGCAATCACCATTAAAACTTTGTAATTCCCTTGTTGGAAAGAGCCAACATGAATGTTATAAAAGCTACATCATGGTAGCATGACTTCACCTCAACCATTTAGCTACTTGTTAGCCACCGCATTTTCAATGCCACATTGAAGCTTCAGAAATGTGTGGGGTATTTACTGATGTTGTAGAACAAAACCTTAAAATCTCACAAGCTTGTGTTAAGCACAGACCTTTTTTCAGACATCTAAACTAAAAACGTGTTCAAAAACGGTTGATTTAGAGACAAGGGAACCAGAAAGAGGTAAAAGGTTAACTCATTTCAAGTTTCAGGACTCATTCCTGCAGATCTCTATAAGCAGTGACGATCTCTTAAAAAGGACCAGGCCAGGCTCTGTGATTCACCAGGTCACAAAAATATGATAACAAAATATTTTCTTTACAAAGGAATACAACATACAAGCTGTTGTTTCAGGTGACTGATTCAAGATGACTTATTGTTTTGTTGTCTGCTTACCTCCTGTTGGTCAGCCTCTGAGGTCAGGTGCTTTGAGCTGGGATGGGCTGGCACACCGCTACAGACCAGCTCCAACTGACGCACACCTGCAGGAAGCAGCATGGGGGGTGGGTTCTGGTACTGGGACTTGATGGCATCTGGCACCTAAATGCAAACAGTGATTGTCAGAATCATCAGTTATCTCCATTAAGGCACTGTTGGCCCAGACATGAATAAATAAAAAACAATGTTGATGAACATCTCAAAATATGACTGTTGTTGTGTTCCCTGCTGAGGTAGATTAACATCTGAGCTAATCTTTGCCGAATGATCAGTTATTCCATTCATCGATTATTCTTTTGGCTTGTCTTGGTAATTAAGAAGTGACCACAAAGAAACTATTTGGAATTTAACAAGCACACCTCGAGAAACTCTAAAGAGGCGGGCTGACTATTAAAACAGAATGTTATCAATAGCGCGATATGGACTAGCAGTTGAAATATATATTTAAAGATATATATATATTTATATTTGTATATAGAAATGTTGGGAGTAAATCACAAGAGCCGTAATGTTCATTTAAAGCAAAATGTGTCAAAATACTATTCTGAACTTAGAACTGTGATACAATTACGACGACAAATTGTATTCTACTGACTTATGAAAAATGTATTGGTTTGGTACAGTTCCTGACAGAGAAAATAACACCAACAAAACTAAATGTGAAGGCCTGCCGTTTCTGCTGTGACGACCGCAGGTCTGAATCTGGTGGTCCCTTTACACCTGTCACCCCCACTCTATCTTCCCCTTTCAGATTTATTTTTCTTATTAAGGCATAACTGGCCACACGTTTAAAAAAAGAAAGATGTATACATAAAAAGGTCCATGCAAATATTATAATTTGGCGCAAAGTTGTGATTAACAATTGAATTATCAGTCAAAAATAATCACAATTAGATATTTCCCCATATGTTTAGCCCTGGTTTACAGCCTTACAATACCTTGAAGGTCTTCTTGTTGTGCTGGTGGGTTGTGCGCCGGTTGGGAGCGTTCTGTCGATGGACTCTACGCAAGAAGTCCAACTTGACGGCGTGCTGCGACATCCTGTCCTGGAAATGGTCAAAGAGCTGACAGCGACTGGAGAGACTCAGGTTCCTCTGATTCAGCTGAAATAGAAAAAAATGATGTCATTTTGTTGCACCATCTTGGCTGAGACACAAGAAAACAAAACAACGTGGCAAGAAACAGAGTTGGTTATGCTCTGAGCATAGACTGTGCCTCCTTACCGCTAAGTGCTCAACATGGTTTGGACACATCCATTTCCCAGCAGGTAAAGCTGTAAGTGGAGGATCCAGACAGTCCATGTGGAACAGAAGAGGACAGTAGTCACACTGGATCAGTGGAGCAATCCTGCAACTCCTGTGAAAGGAAATACAAGAACATAAGACACTGATATTAAATATCTCATGTCTGTGTGCGTATCTTTGTAGGAAACTGAAATGTGGTACAAACCTGTTGCATGAAAAGCAGACTTTCACTGGTAAAGGGACCAGACCATTGGGATCCAGTTCATGCTGCGGCCTCCTGAATGGCTTCCCTAGAAGCTCCTCTTTTCTTCTCCGTTTACTGCTGCCTAGAAATCCAAATCAAGTAGGATCATTAAAGAAACAACCCAGATATGTATATATGTCATGTATCATCAATCTAAAAAGGGCAATACTTTTTTTTCTTTTTTTATAAATATACTTTCAATAACTTGCCTCACATACTTCAAACATTCACAAATAGATTCAAAGCCTTGTTCAACCATGGGCTTTCCATCCAATCCAATGAAAATAAAATACAAAAATATGCTGAACTAATTCCAATTCAATTCCAAATGTTATGCCTTCAATTTCTTTCTCCTAGCCTCAACATTTGAATATTGGTGAAATAAAAACAGTATAATTCCACAGTTTAAGACATGGCTGACTGACCTGGCAGTGCAGTGGTGCAGGTGAGCTCGCTGGGTAGCTGGAACTGTGTAGGGTTTCTCTCCATGGCTGCTGCTATTAGCAGCTGAAAGGGCCTCTTGAGGAGGCGTGGAGTTGGAGTCGATAGCGTAGCACCCTCGTGCTCTGAGCCCTGAACTTCATCCTCAGGCTCTCCTGCCTCCTCCTCCCCGTCGTTCTGCTCCTCCGACGGGGTCGGGGTGGACGAAGTGTTTGAGGTGGGCGTTCCCGGTCGACTGCTTGGCCTGCTGCTGGTCCTGCGCTCCAAGAGGCGTACCTGGGCCACTCGTAGACCGGGCCCCGCCGCCCCAGCCCCCGGGGGCAGGCCATCGAGCCGCAGTGGGCCGGTGTTGAGCTCCAGCTCCACGGCCGGGGACAGAGAGCGCTTGGATGAGGACTTCTCCGGTAGGCCATTGGTCTGTTCCGACTTCTGCTCTCGCTTCTGCAAAAACACAGAACAAATGACAGATTTATCAGTCTACCCAGATTAAAACATATACTTTCTTCACAATTTGTCAGTAACACTGGAGGAGGATTGGGTGTGTAATATAGTGTTGCAGTGATGTTCTGTTTTTGAAGCCATTGTAACATTGACTTTAAGACGAGGAAACCCAGAAGTGCTAAAATGCCAACTCATTTTCAGGTTTAGGACACATTCCTGAAACTCTCTATAGAAAAAACCTGCCACTCACCTTTTTTCGAACATTGCAGCGGTGACACATCCATTCTCCTGGGGGAAGCATTTCTTCACTTAGAGGTGGGTTGCTGTGGTAAGTAGATAAAACATGATAATTAAGGATCATAATGAATGCAGGCAAATTAATTAACATTTTCAATTAATATCCATGTATGCAGACATGATAGTGTCACAATTATGTTCAGTGACTTGATAGAAATGCACACTACACCTCTGAACCGCTAAAACCACAAAGCCGGAAACATCTTTCTTGTCAGTGTCATGCCTAGACCGACAAAGGATTTAAAAAATGCTGTCATGGTAAAAGTGCCAAATGTTACAAGAACAATGATATGTGAAGGAGGGCACTGTGCTGATTGATTAATAACAAGGAGTATTTTTTGTTTTGGTGTCTATATACGCCGGGATCCGGAGTCATGGATGATCCTGCGGTCCTGTGTCCTGGATCGCGAGCCCTGGATCTTGAGTCGTGGCTATGGTCCTGGATCATAGTCCTGGATGGATATCCTCGTGGATTCATCTTCCTATTATACACACATGCATTTCCAAACATTCGGTCTACCTATGTTGCAAATGTATTATCTTTTCAATTTACACACGGCATCTATTGCACGTCTGTCCGTCCTGGGAGAGGGATCCCTCCTCTGTTGCTCTCACTGAGGTTTCTCCCATTTTTCCCATACTGATATTCTGTACAAACTGTGAAGACCACTGAGACAAATGTAACATTTGTGATATTGGGCTATATAAATAAACATTGATTGAGTAATCTGAGGCCAATACTATAATCTACAGCCTAGAAGGTCCCAATCGAAGGAAAATGTATCAAAAGTTACCTTGTGTAATACAAATCTAACGATAATACACAATACAAGCAATGTGCAGGGGTATGGGACAACTACTACTTCCCATTCACAGACCTGACCATATATGGATAAAACGTTGCAGTTTGGTCGTTTCGAAGTGGCAGTCTGAACTCAACTCTTCCAAATGCCAGAGTTAAAATAATCATGCAAGCAGATGTTTAACGGGGAGCGAAGCACAGCCGAACGGTGAAATGCTACCATGGACTTTGTTACATGTCCACAACAACACTGCATTGAAGCTAACACCATCTCAGAAAATGGCTTAAATTCCCTCTGTGTTTTTAATCAACCCTTTTCTCTCAAAGCTGAATTATAAAAAGGTTTGTAAGATGGCGGTGGAATCGAAAAAAAGAGCAGGGAGGTCGCCATATTGTAAACAGAAGCCGCTTCGACTCCATTTTTAGCAGCAGCGGCTCCACTGGCTGCAGCCACGACAGGAGGGGAGCACCGACTGCCAGCTTATTCTGGCCACTTTCACAACACACTCCTTTCTTTGAACACGTCTTCTCATTGACAATAACGACAAAAATGATGCTTTCAATATAGTATGCGACTAAACGCTCCACCACATCTTAGAACGGACACACCATATCTAACGGTACATGTTGTTATTTTTAGGTATTCGGCATGTTGTAACCTTAAGAGACGTTCAAATGTACTTCAAAATGCTGCTGAATTTAGTTTACAGATCAATTCTCGTAGAAACAGTTAATACAATTGCACTTACAAAGGGCTACATACAGCTCGCTACCGCCTTCCTCGGTTCAGTTGAATGGGAGTGTACAGTGAGAATATGGGGGGACTACCATGAAACAACAGTGGATATGTGCAGAACAATAACGCCAGGTAAAATCTCTTCAAGGCCAGATATTCAATCACAAGTGAAGAGTATCACAGTCATGATTCGGAAGCACTAACAGCTAACTTCATTAAGGAAGCACCGCCCGCTGAAGTTAGCTTCGGCATCTAAGTTTTTCATGCAGCTAACGCAGCTACACAGTTGCAATGCCTTCACTGTTATACACTAATGCACATGCATTACGTGTCCCTTTGCGTTCCTTTTCATAATTAACTGTAACCTACCAGCACTGGAGGTGGAAGGCTGCAGGGCAGTGGTCACAGCACAGCAAGTCGCCCCCTTCCCGGCAGCTGTCGCAGGTGTCGTGGTTGGTAGCCCTGCCGCTCCTCCGGACGTCTCTCACCAACTTCCGACTCCTCTTCTCTACCTCCTCGGACTTCGGGGGCGCCAGCAGTGTTTGGATTTGCTGTAAAAGTTGTTCAACTCTTTAGTATAAAATCACGGCTTCAAGACCAAATGCTTGTCTAAAGAGTGTCAAAATGTGCAGCTTTGGGCGATAGCATGCTAAGCTTGGGGAGAGCGGTAACGTTAACTAGTGGCCTCCATTATCAACCCCAGCTATTGAGTTAGCTGAACGAAGAAATGCTTGACAGCAGGCTATGGTGATAATGATAGTTAACATGAAAGAAAATAGCTGAAAGCATTAGAAATAAAGGAATATGTATCTCTATTAGGCCTTTGAGCATAGAAACCTCACCTCCATTAAGCCCCCAGAGGTATCCAAATCGTACACAATCGTCGGGGTCTCCATTTTGTCCCACATTCATCCAGGTGCAGACGTTGCAAAAATATATTTGCGATAAAAAGGCCTACCGAGCACACAACAATGAGACTAAATCCCGCAGTAAACGTCTTTTCAGAGGATCGCTAGCCAAACGATGCTTGCTATCGTTAGCTTGCTAAGGGAGCCAACTACGAAGGCAAGACGGTAACCAGTCAAGGTTGTGAAGCTAGCGGTCTCACTAGCTTGCGTTGTGGCCCAAAAAAGACAACAAAGTTCACGATAATCGTGTAATTGAAATACTAGAGTCTTAGCACAAAATGTTATGAACGGCGCCAAACCTGCTCACAGTATTTTATACAAATATATCGTTGCTGTTAGCTACCAAATCCATCTGCGGCCTAGCTGGCCAGCCATGATTTTTGTTTCTGCTCCTGCGAAAGGGAGCCCTGTAAATCTGCAAACCCCTCCGCTCCCATTGTCAATAGAAGATGGAAACCACAAAATAAAGAATGAAATCCGGCGTGCCAAGGTCCAATGCACGGTTTCCGAAAGCGTTCGGAATGTATAATCCTCAGATCGAGTATGTGGAGATGCAAATTTGGTTGATGTTATTGTTGTGAAAAAGGCTGAGCATCTATACTGGCTGCTAGCAACATCCTCTACCAGTTGGCGCAACCGCGAACCGCCGGGAGCGCATGCGCATTGGGGCGGATATAGATAATAGCGGGGATATAATAAACACAAGAAGCGAATACTTTGTGTACACACTGTATCCGGCTGCAACTAATGTACAAGCATTACCATAAGACGCTACTTTGCTACGTGACATTGTTTAGTTCACTATACTGCTGATTATGAGAGCTAGGCCTACATAAAATGCTTCTTGTTTTGATAGCCACAGTGCTTTACTCTTCATCGAAGTCCGCCATTAGCTTTTTCTAAATCAGTAATACAGACGGATGTAAACTGCTGGCTCTACAACAACTACTATCGCCTTTAGCTGGCAAATTAACCAAAGTACTGGTACTGAAGTTATACAGCATCACTGTTTTATTGGAATTGCTCATTTTTGTCACAGTAGCCTAGTAGGCCTACTGCTTGTCCTGCTACTGTTAGCACTCATACTGTGTTGCATTCATATTAGTGTTTTACATGCTATTGTTCTATTAAAACTAGCGGTTTCCATTCTGACATATATGTGTTTAACATGAATACTCTTGTGTTGCACATGCATAGTTGTGTTTTCTATTCATGCTAGTTTTATTTACTTTGAATGTGTTCATGGGTTATTTTTTCACTAAGATTTTATTCACTTTTTTCAGACAATAAACAGCAAGCAACACAACAAACATAAAAATTGAGCAGGGTATTTTCACAATCATATTCATTTTGAGATATATTTGAACCATTTGGACCATCTTCCAATATAAACGTTGTTTCTTATTCTTAACACAAATGTCAGTCTCTCCATCTCATGAATGTCTTTAAGGATTTCCATCCAATAGCCTGTAGGAGGATCGGCTTGTGACCACTTACGAGTGATTGCTTTTGTTCAGTTGCTAACACACACAAATCTCACATAAAGCTTAATTATTTAAACTCACACTCAAAGAGCAAAACCTCAGCTCAAATCTCCAAAACTCTTAACACATGTTCAGCTCTGCACCCAATTAGAAATTCAACTTGGCCTTTTTTGCACAAAAAAAAAACTGCACACGTTTCTCTAAGACACAGAATTCTGACATATAGTGCGAGACCGACGCAGACCTGCGCAATTGCGATCGCCGTCTTGCTAGTTTCTTCTTCTTCTTCTTCTTCTTCTTCTTCTTCTTCTTCTTCTTCTTCTTCTTCTTCTTCTTCTTCTTCTTCTTCTTCTTCTTCTTCTTCTTCTTCTTCTTCTTCTTCTTCTTCTTCTTCTTCTTAATGGCGGATCGCAAACAGCTTTTGGTTGCATACCGCCACCTACTGTACACGAGTGTGTATCATCATGTCATCCCTTTAATAAACCAGCATATCGAAAAACATAAAACTAAGAAACCATCAAATAAATCAAACAAAACAAATCATCCATGGTCTATTCTAACCTACTGTTGGATTATTTTCCCTATCCCAGTTTCCCTCAAAAAGGTGAACAGTGCCTTTCTCTTACTCCTTCTCCTTCTGTTCCCAGAATACCAGCTACATTCCACTCCCAGTCTGCCTCTAAACCTTTATCCCTTAATGTTCCTCTTTCAACTCTATAGGTGACACAATGTAATAAAATATGTTCCACATTTCCCCTAACTCCACAGTTCCCACACGTGTCACTGTCACTTTCCCCCATGACATACAGCGTACCTTTCAATGTGTGATTTAGTCTGAGCCTATCATGATTTCCTCCCTTCTGTTTCTTTCTTTATACATATTAGGCTAATTGTAATTGTCTTTTGCACTTGATGATACTCTTTGCCTTTCTGGTCTTTCTCCCACCTTCTCTGCCAGATCTCCACCCCTTTCTTCTTAATTACTGCTTTTCCTTCTCCTTTTCCAAGTTTAACTGGTGGTGTGATTTCCTTTTATAGTGCACTTTTTGCTATCAGCGCACTCGTTCCCTTTCACCCCTTCATGTGCAGGCACCCAGCAGAACTGCAGATCTATACCGCCTCTGTGGAGTCTTAACAGCAAGGGCGGACTGGCCATCGGGACGTTCGGGACGAATCCCGATGGGCCGGTACTGAAGTGGGCCGGTCGGACGATGTGGGCCGGCCGGTAACCGGCAGGGCTCGACATTATAAATGGCCCGCTGGCACGGAAGCACTATTTAGACACCCCGGGCCAGCATAACGTACTTTCCACTTGCCCGCTCGGGCCATTAAAAATATTGCTTAAAAAAAAAATGTCCTGTGGTATTGGTATTTTGACTAGCAATTTAGATAAATTGTTTCGTTTATCAACGCTACAACATAGCGTTCCGTGAGTCGGTTGTCGTTGTTGGGTGAAAAGCAAACAGCTGTTTGCTGCGGAGCGCACCGGGAGCAGGCTCCCGTGAGCGGGAGCGCGCTCCTTCACAGACTATCGCGCCACTTAACCATTCGCCAAATGTTTTTAATACCAGCGGTAACCGACCAAGCGCCGGGCAAAAAACAATCTTCAAATAAAAGAAAGTCACCGGAGGAGTTAAATGAGAGTGACAGGGAGTATGAGAAGAAGAGGGAGAGAACGTTTCAGCCAGCTTGATCGATGGAGTTGGCTGCAGTGACGCGTCCTAAAACCCTTTTATAATCTATCGATTAGATTTATGATTCGAAAATTATAAAAGTAGGGTAGACATGTGGAGATTATCCGGCTGAACAAAACGTGCATTTATCAAACAGGTTTGTTTTCCACAGACCTTATTTCCAGCTATTTTGTCGAGGGAACCAGCAGCTTACTTCCTGGTTTTAGGACGCGTCACTGGCTGCACCTCTCAATATGATGCAAATATAAACAAGGTCTTCTGTCGGCTCTGTACATCAATGCCGACCTATGCTGACAAGTAAGTGAAGACTCAGAGTAGACAATATAAAGGTATTGGCGAAATGTCCCAGCAGTTTAGGATAATGAAGGTTCAGGTTCTAATCAAATCAATTACATAGCCTGACAGGAAGGCAGAAAGTGCATTATACAAATAATAATAATAATAGCAGACATTTTTTAACAATGACCACAATATCATTATTTTAATAAACCAAATATGAACAATTGAGGAAAATGAAGAAGAACTGATGTTGTAGTACAAGTAGTAATGTAGCCTAGTTAGTGCATACATTACTATTGCAACAAATGTGTTAATTTTCTTCATTATTAGTCGATTTTTTTTTTTGGACGAATGCTCCGGGCCAGTGGTTACAATGGTGGGGCCAGTGATAATACAAGTCCACCGGCCCGGAGGTAGACATTATTTACCCTTAATGTCTACCAAATTGTCTACCTTCATGTCATGAAGCAAGATTTGCTTGCTGATAGCTTGAAACCCGTATGACCACTTCTCCACTTTCTTTATAGCTTTCCCTATCTTTTCAAACACATATGGAACATTTCTTCCCCGTATCCATATGGCCCCGTCATCTGCATATAGCGCAGATTTTATGCATCCATCCAAATTACTAAAAATGTCATTTATCATAACGTTAAATAATATCGGGCTGATTGAACTCACAGGACAGGGTAGGATTCTCATGGCCGTCATGGCCCCTCGGTCTGGCCGTGAAGCCCCGAAAATAATTGTACGTCCTACGGCCACCATTGATTGATTGATTGAAAAGTTTATTAACAGCTTGTATATTGGGTACAGTACAGTACAGCTCAAAACATACAATTGTTAAGGGGATGCAGACCAGAGAAAGACTTTCGTCTTGTTTACATCAGGGTCCCCCATTTCCAATTCATCATATCATTTAAGACATAGGCTATAAGACATATTTGACATACAGATGGCTTATTTACAATTTAGCCTACAGGTGTTTTTTTACATACAGATTGCTTATTTACAATTTTCATTTGGCCTGTGTGCCGCTGGCGCTGATACTGTTAAAATCTCGAAGTTGCTTTAAAAGCGTCAGAACAGTGGTTTCTGAACTGCATTATGCTGCGTTCACAACGGACGCAATGCGAATATTCTCATCGCTCTTTAACCGCTGGAGTTTCACCGCGGCTGTCAGCTGTGTTTCTGTCACTCAAACAGGACGCGCTGGAGAGGGGGCGGGGCTTATATCCATGTAAATACTGTGGTGGAAACCTGGTGGAAACCAACTACGACAAAATGAACATACTTTAACGTGATTTAATTGTAATACACGTTTCAAACGATGCCGAAGTAACTAAATACTGATAACAGTTAGTAAAAAACATGCTTTGACAAGTGTGCAGACAAGAAGGCAGGCGAAAAACTTTTAAAATGCGTGTTCTCTGAATGGAGCGATCTCCATTCGATCAGATCAGGCTAAACTAACCTGTATCTGCTCCGTCCAAACTCACAACAACGTCCTAAATACATAATTAAAGCAGCGACTGTATTCGCCATGACACAGACAGTCTGTGGTTTGTACTTGTTTAACTTTTGTGAAGTTTCTGAACAGATATGAGGAGCTGTGAGGAGTTGATTAAAGAGAGATACACATACACACGTTTGCATTCCAAAGTATTGCTTGTTCATACAGTTGAATGTTGGAGCTTCACTGTGCACTGCTGAATGATGTATGTGCAGAGTTTGACCCTTGAAGGCTGTTTCTTCTGCTCTGAAATGGAATATATTTATTACATATTAATAGAATTTTTGATTTTTTGATTTGATTTCCGATTTGTGAATGGGAGAAGTAGTAGATGGAAAACATACCAAACACTAATTATTCAAAGTGGAGTATTTCATTGTATATACGGTAATACTAAGGAGCCATTGGCCTATATGATGATATCATGTTTGACATTATTGATATTAAAAAATTGATTTGTTTTCCATGTCATTCGTGTGTTTTTCTTATCAGAAAGTGAAGTTATTTATTCGTAAGCTCCAAATCCAAATGTTTCCCTCAATGGCCTTTGTGCCCTGGCATGTGGCCTTTGCGCCCTGAAAAAATGTGTGACACTAAAGGCCAAATGGCCTTGTCCCTAAAATGACGAAAATCCAAGCCTGCTTGAGGAATACCATTTTCAATACTGTCAAGGAGAGACTCTGAGGCATGAACTCAATTGCACGACTCAGATAGTGTTCTCAAAAAATAAAGACTTTACTGGAATTTAGCACAGTAATCAAAACAAGGAAAACAAATATACTCTTTCGAGGAAAACTAGCAAGTGATCAATGAGGTAGATCCGTGGGAAGTCCGTGAGGTAATCAGGAACGTGGGTCATAGTAAGACAACGAACTGACAATGAACAGGAGGAAGCTACCACAATATATACACAGGTAAAGGGGACACAGGTGGAAACAATCAGGGCGGGGAAAACAATCAAGGACGCAGGAGACAGAAGGGGGCGGGGATCGTGGAGGCCTGAAATGAGAGGGATGATTAATTAAGGGAATAAACATAAAGCACAGGGCAAAGGGACATGACAAAACTAACATAAAGAATAAACTTTCACTATTAGTTTCCTAGACATGACAGTACCCCCCCTTCTAGGGACGGCTCCTGACGGCCCAGGCTCCTCTGAGTTGAGGCGGTCAAAATCCTCAATGAGGCTTTTGTCTATGACGAAGCGGGAAGGAATCCATATCCGCTCCTCAGGACCATAACCCTTCCAGTCAACCAGTAGCTGTCGCCCTCTACCCCTTTTCCGACTAGCCAATATCTTCTTGACGGTGTAAACCGGACCTCCATCAATCATCCGGGGGGGGCGGGGGGGGGGTTTGGCGGTGGGAACCATAGCGCTCTCCTTCAAGGGTTTTAGTTTCCCTACATGGAAGGTGGGATGTACCTTCATGGACCTGGGAAGCCGTAGTCTCACTGAAACCGGGTTGATGACCTTGGTGACGGGAAAAGGACCCACAAACCGGGGAGCCAATTTACGGGAGAGTACGTGGAGGGGAAGGTCTCGTGTAGAAAGCCAGACTTTTTGGCCTGGCTGGTATACAGGAGCTGGTCGGCGTTTTCGGTCTGCTGCTCTTTTCACCAGTTGTGAATTCCTGCAGAGGATCTTCCTAGCCGCAGCCCACACGCGCCGACAACGCCTGACCAGCGCGTGGGCAGACGGGACCGTGACCTCCCTCTCCGTGGCTGGGAACAGTGGCGGCTGGTAGCCATAAACACAGTGAAATGGGGACAGGCCCGTGGCAGAAGTAGGGAGGATGTTGTGCGCATACTCAACCCAGGTGAGGTGCTCGCTCCAGGAGGATGGATTCTGGG